TTACCGATAAGGGTAAATGGTTTCAGTCTCAATAAACAAGAATTTACAGATGCCATTGCTCTAAGGTACAGTAGGCCAGTAGAAGGTTTGCCCTACAAATGCGTGTGGCTCTTCTTATGACGTTGATCACGCCATGGTGTGCAAGAAAGGGGACTTCATATGCAAGAGGTATGACAAAGTAAGGGATCTCAGTGCAAATACTCTATGTTGAAGGAAATCTGTCGTGATGTCAGGGTAGAACCGACCCTCCTTCCTTTGGACGGTGAGAATTTCCAACATAGAACTTCAAACACATCCAATGAAACCTGTGTTGACGTCAGTGCTCGAGGATTCTGGAAACGAGGACAGCGAGCCTCCTTCGACATCAGGATTTTTTATCCCATGGCCGCTTGTCACTGTAACTTAGCTCTCAATGCTGCACACAGGAGGAACGAGAATGACAAAATAAAAGCATACGGGGAGAGAATTCAGAACCTTGATCAAGGGAGCTTCACTTCTCTGGTGATCACAACATCTGGTGGGATGGGACCAAGTGCAAGATGCTTCTACGCCAGACTCGCAGAGGTGATATCCGAACAGAAGCAGCAGCCCAGAAGTTATGTTACAGCCTGGATGAGATGTCGACTGTCCTTCTCTCTCCTTAGGTCGGCTTTGCTCTGCCTCAGGGGAATGAGAACATCGGCCCCAAAGCCGACAACAGATGCAGATATTGACTATGAGGTAACATTCACTGAATGCCGCATAAATCGGCGGCTCAACCAACTCAGCACAGCTAGGAAAGCTACTTATGTTTTAGGATATCTAATTTTAAGGTAATAAAATGGAGGCGAAGGTGTGGTTAATGGGGGAGGACGGAGGCCACGTAAAAAAATAAATAAATAAAAAAAAAGGAAAAAAGTAGTACCATAGCAGTAGTAGTAATGCTCTAAGGTACGGTAGGCCAGTAGAAGGTTTGCCCTCCCAATGCGTGTGTGGCTCTTCCTATGACGTAGATCACGCCATGGTGTGCAAGAAAGGGGGGCTTCATATGCATGAGGGATGACGAAGTAAGGGATCTCTCAGCAAATATGTTGAAGGAAATCTGCCGTGATGTCAGGGTAGAACCGACCCTCCTTCCATTGGATGGTGAGATTTTCCAACATAAGACTTCAAACATATCCAACGAAGCCCGTCTTGACGTCAGTGCTCGAGGATTCTGGACGCGAGGACAGCGAGCCTTCTTCGACATCAGGGTTTTTGATCCCATGGCCATATGTCACCGTAACTTAGCTCTCGATGCTGCACACAGGAGGAACGAGAATGACAAGATAAGGGCATACGGGGAGAGAATTCAGAACGCTGATCAAGGTAGCTTCACTCCTCTAGTGTTCACAACCTCTGATGGGATGGGACCAAGTGCAAGATACTTCTACACCAGACTCGAGGAGGTGATATCAAAACAGAAGCAGCAGCCCAGAAGTTATGTTACAGCCTCGATGAGATGTCGACTGTCCTTCTCTCTCCTTCGGTCAGCTTTGCTCTGCCTCAGGGGAACGAGAGCATCGGCCCCTTGCAGATATTGACTATGAGGCTACAGTCACTCAACACAGCTAGGATAGCTACTTATGTATTAGGATATTTAATATTACAGTACTAAAATGGTGGCAAAGGTATGGTTATTGGGGGAGGCTGGAGGCCATTTTGTTTAAAATTAGAAAAAAAAAGTAGTAGCAGAAAATAACAGGAGGGATGGTGTGGAAAAAGGCACTGATGACTCAGGGAGGTGCCAGCCCTTCAGGTCTGGATGCAAACGGTTGGAGAGTCATCCTCAGCACTAACAAGTTTGGCCCCGTAGCAAGTGATCTCTGCATGGCCATTGCCGTCCTTGCAAGAAAGCTGGCATCCTCATGCTGCCACCACCTCCATCCTCTGACGGCCTGCCACCTCATCCCCTGGATAAGAATCCAGGATGTAGGCCAACAGGAGTGGGGGAAGTGCCGAGGCGAATCATCGGAAAATGCATAATGGAGGTGGTAAAGGACGATGTCAGGGCAGCAGCAGGGAACCTGCAAGTTTGTGCTGGCCAACAAGCTGGAGGGGAAGCTGCCATTCCCGCCATGAGAACGATATTTGAGCAGCGCGATTGTGAGGCCGTTCTCCTGGTCGACGTTTCAAACGCATTCAACATACTTAACTGCAAGGCCGCACTGCACAACATCAAGATCAAGTGTCCAAGCTTTGCAATGTATGTTGAAAACTCGTGTAGGAATCCATCAGACCTTTATATGGTAAACAACAAGACTTTAAGAGGTGATACCATCTTACAGTCAACCGAGGGAACAACACAGGGGAACCCTGTTGCAATGGCAATGTACGCAATAGGCCTATAAGTGCTCCAACACGAAATAAAATTTGAAACAACTGAGGTCAAACAAGTGGCGCACGCTGATGACCTTACAGGAGCAGGAAAAATGGAGGACATCATAAAGTGGTGGGACTTGGTAACATCGCGAGGTCCACTAATAGGGTACCACCCAAACGCCAGCAAGTCCTTCCTCATTGTGAAGCCAGAACATTATGAACGGGCAATGGAGGTGTTCGGTGGAAGTGAGGTTAAAATAACAAAGGATGGCCAGACACACCTAGGCGCAGTAATCGGCACGACGGACTTTAAGGCCGAATACATAGCGGGAAATGTGAATGAGTGGGTTAGGGAAATCCAAGCTCTGTCTGAGATTGCTAACACAGAGCCACATGCGGTTTTTGCAGCAATCACCCATGGAGTCAAGCATCGCTGCAACTACCTGATGCGCACTGTCCCTGATATCGGACCCCTCCTCTACCCCCTGGAAGAAGCTATCAGCGTCAATTTCATTCCCAAATTAGTGAAACATTTTCACTTAACCCCAACAGAAAGATCACTCCTTGCACTACCACCGAGACTGGGAGGAATGGGACTAACCAATCCAGAGGAGATTGCTGCCACTGAGCATCAAAACTCAGTTAAGCTCACGGCAGCCCTCACGGACCACATAATAGCTCAGAACACAACAGGAGAGGTGGATACCAGTGAAGTAAACAAGATCCAAAGATCCATTACGACAGAATGAGAGCACAGCCAAAGTGACAAGTTGCAGCAACTATTGCTGCAAATACCAGAGAATTTGAAGAAAAAAGGTAGCTATAGTGCAGGAGGTGGGCGCCTCGAACTGGTTAACTACGTTACCGATAAGGGCAAATGGTTTCAGTCTCAATTAACAAGAATTTACAGATGCCATTGCTCTAAGGTACAATTGGCCAGTAGAAGATATGCCCTCCCAATGGGTGTGTGGCTCTTCCTATGATGTCGATCAAACCATGGCGTACAAGAAAGGGGGGCTTCATATGCATGAGGCATGACGAAGTAAGGGACCTCACTGCAAATATGTTGAAGGAAATCTGCCGGGATGTCATGGTAGAGCCGACCCTCCTTGCTTTGGACAGTGAGATCTTCCAATATAGGACTTCAAACACATCTAACGAAGCCTGTGTTGACATCAGTGCTCGAGGATTCTGGACGCAGGGACAGCGAGCTTTCTTCGACATCAGGATTTTTTATCCCATGGCAGCATGTCACCCTAACCTAGCTCTCGACGCTGCACACAGGAGGGACGAGAACGACTAGATAAGGGCATATGGGGAGAGAATTCAAAACGTTGATCAAGGCAGCTTCACTCCTCTAGTGTTCACAACTTCTTGTGGGATGGGACCAAGTGCAAGATGCTTCTATGCCAGACTCGCAGAGGTGATCTCCGAACAGAAGCAGCAGCCCAGAAGTTATGTTACAGCCTGGATGAGATGTCGACTGTTTTTCTCTCTCCTTCGATCGACTTTGCTCTGCCTCAGGGGAACGAGAGCTTCTACCCAATGCCGACAACAGCTGCAGATATTGACTATGAGGCTACAGTCACTGAATGCCGCATAGATCTGCGGCTCAACTAATTCAACACATATAGAATAGCTACTTATGTATTAGGATATTTAATATTAAGGTAATAAAATGGCGGCGAAGGTGTGGCTATTGGGGGAGGCTGGAGGCCACGATTTAAAAAAAAAAAATAGTAGTAGTAGTAGTAGCAATAATAATAATAATGATAATAATAATAACAATGATAATAATAACAATGATGATGATAATAATAATAATAATAATAATAATAACAACAGTTCATTGAAAAATACAGCATCCATTAGCTTAAGAAATACAAATGACATAAATGGTAAAGGTATAATGACATGGGGAGGGTCACTTAACCAGGAATTTCAGTGCAGTTACAGTACAAAAATGAGATTGGTAAAGAGTGAAGAGACAGATGATCTGAGAATTGCTAATAATTATTAAAATGGTTGGAATAGGATTGTGCTTATGGCAATCAGTATGTGGTCATAAGGGTTGGTTGAATTTGTGGTATCAAACAGCAATTTGCAGACGGGGACCTCAGGTGGTTGCAGGGCACAGTAGCGAGGACGGTGTAGTAGCTTCATCCCAAACTGACAGATGAGTCGAGAAAGCTACTGTAGTATGAGCACCTCATGAGTGAGTGAATCACCATGTTTTACAGTATATAATATAATATTTCAAATGAATTCATGAAGTATCAGGGCACAAAGTTAATTGTATACCCTGAGTACTAAGAACACAGACTGACTTATGAAAAGACAGGTACAAAAAGACCCCTTTAAGTTGGAAACCCCCATAAATCGGATGGGCTCTGGTTTAGGGTGTGTGTGTGTGTGTGTGGGGCGGCAGTTGAGAGAGGAGTCAGTTCCCTCATGTGTGTTGTTGTGACCAGTGCTGCACCTCGCACTTTTTTTGTGCTTCTCTGGTGTATTATTATGTCCTCTAAAGCAAGTACGTAAAGGCAAAGCAACAACACTGGGGACCACTGGGAGAAAAGGAATGGTGTTCAGAACTCTACCAATTGAGAGAGAGAGAGAGAGACAGACAGACAGACTGTAATAACATCCACAAGAACACCAACCTGATAGTCTCCATCTGCAGCAGATGAGTTTCCGCCCTTGGTGGCATTGTTTTGGCCGCCACCCAGGGCCACCTTGCCGTGGGCCACCGTCTTGGCTGTTGTGGCCGGGGCACCGCCTGGAGCCCCCACTTTCCCGTTCTCTACGCCTGAGCTGCTTCCACTGTGACCATTGTGGTCAAAGCACTTGCGCTGAACATAACACAGGTAAGGCAAACTTAATCACAGAAAATAAAAAAAAATTCTGTCAGTTTTGATATCTACAGTACATTAAAATATAATTTTATAGGTCTAATCTTCATATGCAATCCCTGTAATATCTTAAACATTCCATTTATAAGAATGATATTAGTATTTCTTGAAAGTTTAGTTGTTGTGTGAGTTCTGGTCAGATATCTGTTTTAAGTGACAGGTAACAGAATAATTTTCATTGCTAAAACATACAATACATTTTTTTTACTTTCCCAGTGAATTAGAATGAATTAGACAAAGAAAGAGGTTTAGTTGGACTGGTAAGAGCTCTAATATACTGTACTTGGGAATTGATTTTTATCTGGGTACATGCCTTCAAGATTTAGTGTTAAGAAGTTTTTCCACATCAGTGGTGATGGAAATCACCGCTGACGTGGAAAAATCAATAAAACCATCTAGAAATAATAAAAGGCAACAGAAAAATTATCAAACCAATGAAAAAGCCAACCCTCTGCCTAACCCATAACAAATGAATCAGTGGAAAAAGGAAATCATCCAAGGAGACAAAGCAAAAACAATGTAATAAGACTCCCAGAATATTACATTTTGTGAGGTATAAAACACTTACCTTTGTGGAGCACTTTTGATATGGATCTAAGAGTTTGATAGTGGATGCACGTTGTTGCTGCACTGGCTGGTGGTGCGGGTAGGTGGTGGCCGAGCCTGCTGCTGCAATAATTTTTGAGAACAACATCTTACTTTACTGAGACCCATTGATTTTTAGCTATGGCTGGCAGCTCTATTTACAATACATATCTGTATTCTTGATCAACTGACTGATTTGACATATTCAATCATTAAAACAACCTTTTGATCAGCCTACAGTGGTGCAACTATTAACCAATTCCCTTTGTTTATATATATTATACTGCTGGCTGGCTGGATAGTAATAAAAACATGAGAGGTATTTGTGGTCGCCTGCAGCATACAATTGATCATTCCATTGAGTGGTGGAAAAAGAATAAAGTAAAAAAAAAAAAAAAATTAAATGAGGGAAAATAAAATAATATACTGTACACATACTAAACTTACATCAACATCTCTCATAAGGTATGTACAGTACAGTCAGACCATAAGCCTCTCTCAGTCCTTGTAATTCAGTTGCCTTTGAAGATGTCTTGAATAAAGACAAAAGCCAATGTGCTCCATTTCCCTTTTTCCTGTGTGATTTTATCAAGTTTTAGCAAGTTTTAAACCCTGGGTACAATGGATTTCAAAATGTTGTCTCGAGAGGACTGGTAATCATGACTGTGAAGTCATTTCCCTTATCTATTTGTATTTTATAAATATTCTAATCACATTTCAAAACATACACTGAAGGGAATTCAATTTCAAAAAGCTCAAATTCCACCCTTAAAGTTAGCACAAATGGTTTTGTATTCTTTGATTTACAATAAATGTACAGGAACCAATTTAGGATTACACAGAAAAAGAAATTGCAGGAAGTGTCACTGGCAGCTCCACAATTCTCATATAAGTAAGCAGGGTTACCATTGTGAAAGCTTTATATAGAATTTTTCACAGTTTTTTTTTTCATATTTTTTGACATCGAAGGGTTAAAAGTAATTAGTGGTCTACCTACACAGGGTAATAAGTAATGGCAAGTGTTCCCTCAAGTATGGAAAGAATGCACTTAATATTAAAATAATATGTGACCCACATAAGGTGGCATTCTGACAAAGATAAAAAATAACTCGATATGATCTTGATATATAATATTAACAATTCAAAAGACTGATGCATTAATAATCAGTTCCTCAGACATTAGATATACTGTACACAATTATACTTGCAGTAAATAATCCCTTTTGTTCAGTTATTTGAACATTAACCCCTTCACCAAGGGGATGAAGTTTTTAATATTTTGTTTGGCTAACACCAGAAAAGTTTATTCAGCACAGGGGGGACCCCATACACAAGGGGTTAACTGATGTACAATCACAATCATTCACATGTAATAAATGTATAAGTTCAGATATTAAACCCTTGTGCACGAAGACACTGGCGGTAGTGGAAAAATATGGTGATGCCAAATAGACCAACAGCTCAGAGTATCTGAACCTATCCCTGACATCACACAAATGTGATGCTGCTGGGTCAGAAACTTGACATTGTCCCCCAAAGATAAAAAAAAATATTTTTAATCTGAGTGAAGAACAGGGCTGAAACTTTGCTAAATACAGTACTTGTACAAATAATATCCCCGTTAGCCGGAATAATTGGTGCCGAGCTCCTCCGGAATGAGAGATTT